GTCCCGACCTGCTAATTCCAGCTCTATGCATGACCTATGCAACATCCAGAGTCTGCTCGTTTTCGGAGCAGGCACTTAGGGGAGCCTCTCCTAAGAGTGTTGAGGGTCTTGGGTGGGAAATCCGGATGTTTGACCCTGGACATGGTCACACCCGGCAAAGTGTAAGGCGGTAAAAATCCTCGGATGTCACTGGATATCTTGCTAAATGAGGTCCACCATAAGTGTGGGCCTGTGCTGCAGAAAGACAGTCAACAGTCATGTTGTGGTGGTCCACGCACACAAACGCTAGGACGCCACCATTTTTGCCGCCATACGCACTAGTATTGCAAAGTGGATTGTATGTGTCCATTGTATGTATGTTCAATTGGAATATGATTGACTGAATTGTTGATAGTGGTCATCGCTTATTTTAGCATGTCTATCTAATTATAAGACCAGCCAAGAGTGTGCATTATATGAGCTTACAAGCTAATTAGCTGTGATTAAGCTTGAATGTACTTGTCAGGAGTATCAATGGAGGCAAAGCAGCATGCACATATGTGTATGACCACCCCTGGCCGGTAATATGTCGGCCGACCTCAGGACTGATTGCCTGATGTTTTCACAATGAGAACTATTATATAACAATGGATGACAACCAAAGGCACCCATTTAGTGAAGACCTGTGCTGCCAGCATTCACGCCTTCTCCTGTACTCATCTACAAGCTTAGGGACACACTACTCCATCTAGGCCCTGTAATCGAGTTACAATATGCCTACCGTGTTATGGCCTTGTCCCAGAGGTCACCGCAGGCCTGGAGAAGGTCCAAGTACACCCCCTCCAAAGTGGCTGGCAACCTCGCTGCAGCGATGGCATAATACCCGATCGGCCCCGCGAGCAGAAACATTGTATGCGTCTTGTGTGCCTTGCCCGCACCAGTGAGACGCCCCAATCGGGAGGCATACTGGGTCAGTGGCGAGGCATTTGCAGCGGATGCCAGAGCATTTCGAAATGCTGCCAACTGGTCGGAGCCTGTTTGCAAGTAATGAAGGGAGGAGGCTGGTAACAAGCTGCTTCCAAGCAAGGCGGGGTGTCAGCCAAACATAACTCATTACCCCATCCCCCCTTTCTTTCCAACAGCCTACAAAAACTGACTCGTGAGTCTAATAGTCCAAACACCCTTTTCCTACTACTAAACCCTCTTTTTACTAGTCAGAACACCCCCTCCCCGCCACCTTCCCGACTTACTGGCCTTGCCGGCGTCCGTGGCAACCTTGTTGCCCTGGTCATACTCACGGATAGCATCACTGGCCTCACCCGATCGCATGCCCTGTAACCCCTTGACGACCGTGTCCTTGATGACCCCACCGATTGTATGCATGCCGTCATACTGGATCCCCAGGACGGGGTCAAAGTAGCGCAGACGGTACAAGGGGCATGCCAACTGCTCCACCTCATAGTCTGCACAGCTTGTGGCAGTGGGGAACTCAAGTGCCAGGCGCATCTCAAGTGTGCTCTGGGGGCGTGGCGGCTGGGCATCCAGAGGCCAGTATCTACCGCATGCAGTAGTGTGCAGCTTGCGCATTTCTTTCCTCAAGCTATTTGCAGGTGACAACCAGGTGAAGTGGTTGGTGAATATGGTCTTGTGCCCAACACGATGCCCGTGAACCCAGCACTTGAAGCAGGCATTGAGAGCAGGGGTGCCCTTGATCCCAACATGCTTCTGGAGACCACGGTAGTCTGACGACAGGGCGATGATCTTGGCATAGCAGGTGAATGGTGCTCCACCTCGGGAGGCGTCATGGACTTCACACCCAATCGAATCCAGCACCTCCAGCTCGTCCGTAATAAGACCGAGGACATGGTTGTGGTCCATCGGGAGCCCATGTTTTTGCGTGGGCGGCTTTATGTTGCCACCCATGATGCAGAGGACCGATGCATACCCAATCTCATGACGGACATGGGCAGGCGCATTGACGCATAGCAGCAACCAGGGTGTGCTGGAGCGCTCATGCTCATCTGATGCCACCTGCAAAAAGGCAGGCAGAGGCCTTACATCTGAAGACCCATGAGAAAATGATGGCTTAATATATTGGACTCCACTTTCCCTGTTTCTCATGCCTGATTATTTACATCCTAACCCCACCCTCACTAGTACTTCACCCCAGGGGGCAAGCAAATGTTATGTCAGTGATACCATCTAATATGCCATCCAGTGAACTTACGATGAATGGATCTGTGACGACCATGAGGAGGACGTTGCGTGGGTCATCCCTGAATCGCTGATCCGACTCCAGGATCTGACGCACATAATCACCATCTGCGATGTCCATCATGAGGGAGCTGGTTGATCTGCGCTCCAGCCATGAACCGAATTCGGCCGCCTGGTGCGCGTTTGCATAAATGCGAGTGAGGTACTGAACTATGGAGTTGTATACCAGTGAACGAGAGGTCTGGCCACGCTCACGTCCACAAGGAGCACCTTCACCTGCTGTCAAGCCTGGGCATTTACTGTCATCACGGTGTTCACAGCGAAATAAAAACCCACAGGGACAAAGGTCGTAGCGGGACAACAGTGGCCATCTGCAGCTGGAGTACTTGCTTAATAGAGTGAGGGCCTGCTTGAATGTCCTGGGAAGATACGGAGCGGCCGCTTGGCAAGCTTTGCTGGACCCAGGTGACATGTAGTCATGGTATTTGGCATCGAGTGCCGCCTCCACAACTGACTCGGTGCATGCAGGGCTGCTATGCTTGATATAAATTGCGTGCATACATGCACGCAGTACATGCTCTTGAACGGCGTCGTCAGGTGTAAGGGGCTTGAACGCAACAGGCATGAAGCGCCTCGCAATCTTAGCACCATCCTGCCCTGGTAGTCGCCGAGACATTTCCGCAGCTGCAGTGCAACAAATGAATCGTGATCCTCTCATGAGTGAAAAGTAAGGGTAATGAGCACACCTACATTATCCCCTCGCTACATATGTAGTACCCATGGCTCACCTTCCTGGTCGAACCACTCTGGAACATTGACCAGCTGCAATTCTCCAAGGAGAAAATCGTCATCGTGGTCGAAAATCCAAGCGGTGCTTGTGCTTGGTTGCCCAGCTTCGTGATGTGTAGAGGGGGCACGCTCCGGCCCAGGGTGTGCCTGCTCTGTCGAGGTAGCTACATGGTCATCAGCCGGAGTGGGACTCGCGTTGAAAGGGTTTCCCACTGAAGCACTGTTGTTTGATCTCGTGCTACACGAGCGGAGGTTGTATTGATGCGCCGTA